TTAGCAGAGAGTTTGACTGCACCAAGACCATAATAAATCAATTATCGATTGCTTGCAGACTCATATCAAAGTCCTATCAGTGAGTTGCAAGTGACAATTAAGCTGCATCTGGTGGCAGGCTTTACAGTGGCAAGTGAGGATTTTACTTCAATTGTAAAGCTGCAGTTTTTCCTCATCCATGGAAAAATTGTCTTCCATGAAACTGGTCCTGGTGCCGAAAAGGTGGGGACTGCTGTTATAACGCATAATGTCAGGTCTTGGACATTGGTTGATACTTCATTCATTATTATATAATATTTCAGGAACTACACTGGTTGGTGGAATGCATAAGAAGCAAAACAGACATGATCCCTTCCTCACAGACCACATGATAAACATCTGTCTGATATGAATGTGAACTATGATGAAAGCTATGAATGAGAGTTACATGTGTATAAGAGCTTATGGTGGAGATTTGATGAGTCAGGAAGGAAGAGAATGCTTCCTGGACAAAGTGACACATGAGCTGAGATGAGAAGGATGATGAGGTGTTAATTAGGTACAGATTAAAGGGAGGACATTTTGCAGACAGGACAGCATGGATCCACTGTAAGTCTGCAGGCCTGAAAGGAGGTCACTGTGGGCTGGACTACTAAGAATGAAAGAGACTGGAATGCAAGAACATGGCTGCAGAGATCATACTCCGTCCAGGGATGCAGCACTCTGTAGACAAGTGCAACTGAAGTGCCAATGCACAATGAGAGAAGGATCTTAGCTAGAATGTAACTCAACACACTGTTTCTTTTTTCTTTATTTAAGAGGGGTTCACCGTTCAGGCCTGATCACAGCTCACTGTAACCTCGAATTCCTGGGTTTGAGCAATCCTCCCACCTCAGCCTCCCAAGTAGCGGGGACTACAGATGTGTCTCTAGCATGGGCAACAGAGCAAGACTCAGTCTTAAAAAAAAAAATGGTCTGTTCAGAAAAAAATGCCTGCTGAACTAAACAGTACATTTAGTGTAGATGTGATTTCCATTCTGAAGTGAACTCCTTATCTTATAAGGACAGTAAGTTCTCAACCAGCAGCCAGTCTGTGGACTCCACACTGATTAGAGTACTATTTTAGAACATTGTGAGTTTTGTCTCTATCCTGAGAGCAATGAGAAGTTACAGAAGGATTTGAAGAAGAGCTGCTGGTGGCCGCAATATGTTGCACGAATTGGAAGGCACCTGGAATTAGAAGAAAGAAGACAAGGAGGTGTGTGTTCCAAATCTTGTTTTCCTGGTGAAATAAGGTGTCCTTTTCAGGTGAGAGACAGAGGCATAAAACGGAGTGCAGTGGCAACATGAAGAGTGGAGGAGATTTGGAACAGCCATTGAGAACAGCCATAGGGAAGGAAATGGGAATTTCAGTTAAAATAAGACAGCTTATGTTGTTGACCAGGTTGACATTGCTCTGTGATTGGATCCAGCGAAATACAGTGTCTGGAAGCAAGTCCAGAGAGGATGAATGTTAGAGATGAGCAGACAGCATTAGCATTGTGGTTCAGTGGGAAGGAAGGTAAGTTGGCTAGGAAGTCTGGGCATTATGTTATCTGGATTGACTTGGAGTAGAGTACAGTGAATAAGAGGTTAAATGATACTATTTAACTGTATTCTAGTCAAACAGTCACTCACCGGACGTGCTGAAGGAGGAATCCCATCTCTCATACTGCTCAGTAGCATGTCCCTCCCAAGTCATGTACTTGCAGGAAGCCGAGGCATTTTGTCTTGGCCAGAGGTCAGCCTGGCTCGTCAGAGGATCCCAGAGATGCTACAGAGAGGCAATTTCCATTCACAGAGCTCATGGAAGCATGTTGGTGAACGCACCAGATGCTGAAAGGAGAACTAAAGCCATTATTAAGCCATAAGTTTACTAAAGTAGAGAAGAGATTATCAGGGAAGCCTTGAAAGAAATCTTGCCATACTGAAAATAAGTAAGCTCAGGAATAAAAAATGTAAAGCTAATTTGTTAAATGATTGCTTAATATGAAGTCTTCCCTGAGCTGCATTTGTAGACAGTGGCCATAAGGTGCTGGTGATATCTTGTAGGGAGAATAGAATGGTCCAGTAGTCATTCAGCATTTCCTCTGTGCCAACACTGTGCTAGGTATAGGGAATATATATGAATGAGACATAGTCCTTGCCTTCAAAGAAGGGCTTATAGATTATGGAAGGAAAACCATCTAAAAAGATGCTTATAATTGGATGCACTAAGTGTTATGCTACAGGGATGTCAGGGAGCAGAGCAGTGAGGCACTAAACAAGTAGGGGAGGAGAGATAAGGATTAGGGGGAAAAGGCCTCCTGGGGAGGATGCCCACAAACCAAGGCTGGGGAAAAAATTGAAGTTGGCCCATTAAGTAAAGGTACTCCAAAGCATGTGTAAAAGCTCAGGCAGGAACGGCAGAACATCAGGAACTTCAAGCAGTTCCATGTACTTAGAGAAAACATACAAGGAGGAATGTAGTAAGAAATAAAATGAGAGGAGTAGTCAAATTATCATGCAGCCTATATTTCAAGCAAAGGAATACAGATCTGATCCTGAGGGCAACAAGAAATCTTTGGCTTTCCAGGAGCCAATTTGATGTAAGGAGAAAATTATCTTTGTGAGGAGTCATTTGCCTGGAGGGGGAAGTTAAGCCTGAGCAGGAGATAAGATCACCCAGAGACATTATAAATGTCTGAAAGGGTGGAAGCTGGGATGGAAACCTGAAGAATGCAGCATTTGGAATAGATAAGCAAAAGAAACCAAGAATGAGATAGTGAAGAGGGAATTAGAGAGGTTAAAAAAAAATCAGGTGGCTTCATGGAAAACAGGGAGGAAAAAATATTTTTTTTATTTATTTCATCATATTATGGAGGTACAAATATTGTTAGGGTTACAAATATTGCCCCTGCCCCCCCTCCGTCCCCCCGATGTGTCCAATCCCCCAGTGGTGTGCATCACACATGTTATGGAAGCATACACCCTTTCCTCCTCCCCGCCTACCGCTGCCCACCACCTCAATAAAAAGTTTTGTTTTGATTTTTTTTTGACATTTTGGTTACATTATATATCTTTGCCTCTCCCTAAGAAGGGTTAGAGTTATGCCCTTCCCTTCCAAAATACTCGCCACCTCCCTAAGGTTGGGTCCCCCCCCCCAAATCCCTGGTGAGCATTGCCACCATTTGAAAACCATAGTTTTAATCAGTCAGTACCAATTGATGGCGAGTAGATGTAGGGCCCATTTTCCATGTCTTGTGTCGCCTCACTTTGGATAATGGGCTTAAGCTTAATCCAGGATAACATAAACGGTGCTAGCTCACCGTCATTTCTTAGGATTGAGTAATATTCCATTGTGAGGATATACCACATTTTAATTATCCACTCATGAATTGATGGGTTCTTGGGTTGCTTCCATGACCGTGCAATAGTGAATTGTGCTGCTATAAACATTTGGGTGCAGATGTCTTTACAATAGAATGTCTTATGCTCTTTTGGGTAGATGCCCAACAATGCTATTGCAAGGCCAATGGCATTATTTCTAGCTGTTTGAGGTATCTCCAAATTCTTTTCCACAAAGGTTGCACTAATTTGCAGTCCCACCAGCAGTGTAGGAGTGTTCCTGTCTCTCCGCATCCTCGCCAGCATTTGTTGTTTTGGGATTTCTTGATTAAATGATGCTGGAGACTAAAGCAATGGATATAGCAACAAAGAAACCATAGTGAAAATTAGAAATAATATAAATTTCCATTAACAGAAAATAGGCAAATCGTTGCATGTTCCTACGTGGAAATTCTACACAACAGGGAAAACAAATGAACTAGAGCTCTGCGTGTCAACATGGATGAACCCAGCAAAGGTAACAAACTAAAGCAGCAGAAGAAAATATAATAGAATGTTATGTGCTGTTTACTTACATATGGAGCAGAAATATAAAGACATACATTGCAGTGTTGAACGCCAAGTTCAGAAAAGCAGTTTATCTCAAGGTCAGGTGTGATTGGGAGGGTGGTTACATAGGGTTCCTCAACAGAAATGGTGTAATATCATTTTTTAAGCTAGTTTTTGGAGGTATGAGTACTTATGTTATAATTTGCGCAGGTTGCACATAAAAGTCATTGTTGACCATAACTAGGGAATTTTAGTGGAGCTAATGGTGCGCACTAATAGTGAATCTTGAGGATTCCAGAATATAGTGGGTGGAAGAGGAATGCTGTAAAGACAATGCCCAAGGCTTCACCAGAGGATTATCATTGTTCTAGACACTGGATACAAATACAGCTTCTGAGAGCAATTCTGAGTTTTTCCACTTAAGCTGTGTGTTACTTAACTTCCCTGTTTCTCAGTTTCTCCTTTTGTAAAGTGGAATACAATAGTATATTCCTTGCTGAGATGTTAAGAAAATGAAATGATTTCATATCACAGTGCTTAAAATAAGGCCTAGGGCACAAAGTACTCGTTTATCAGGGAGTTAGCGAACACCATTATCAATACAATACAAAGTGATTCACAGCCAACACAATATAGTCCTGAATTTATAGAACACTCAACAATTTGCCAACAACTGCGTGAGGTATGTAGAAACTACAGAAATTAAGAGTTATTTGTAGAAATTAACACAGACATAAAAGATTTAATGGACAGAGGAAGTTCATGAACTCAGTGGTTCATACATCCCTTATTAAGTGCAGTCGCTGTCCTGGGCACCACAAGCACAGACACGTTCCTTAGAAATTTAGACTATTTTTTTAAAAATGCGTTGTCACATCCACATCTCACTTTTATTCGGATCGATTGGTAAACCCTTTCACAATCCCAAACTTCCGTCCTACCACCATCTTTGGGCCCAGCCCACAGACCCGCCCTCACGCCCCGCCCCACACCCCGCCCCACGCCCCGCCCCACGCCCCGCCCCAGAGGCGGGGCCTGCGTGCCGGCGCACAGCGAACGTGCTGACGTCTTCGCGCACCGCCCCGCCGGCACGCGCCCACCGGCTTGAACCGCAGCGCCGCCGGCAGAGAACTATGAGGCGGGCGCCAACGGCCGGGGCGGCGGGGCGGGAGGCGGCGCGGGAGCTCGGCGTTGAGGGGCGGGCCTAGCCCGGGGCGCCCGGCTCGCGTCTTCTGGCCGAGCCGCCGCTCCCGCACACCGTGTGGGGCCGCCGCCCCCGCCTGGCCGTGGGTAACGGAGCGGCCGGGCGGCGACCTGGGGCCCCTCGGTGGGTGCGGGCGAAGTCTCCGCGGCGGGCATCCCCCGAGGCCGCGCCCTGGCCATGATCGACTCGGTGAAGCTGCGCCGCGACAGCGCGGCGGACTTCTTCTCGCACTACGAGTACCTGTGCGCGCTGCAGGACTCGGTGCCGCTGCCCGCCGTGCGCGCCTGCCTCCGGGAGGGCGTGCTGGACTTCAACGCCGACCGCCTCCGCGTCGTGGACTGGGCGCCCCTGCTCAGCACCCTCAAGATTAATAAAGACCTGCCCTTGATCTCCATCAAGAGCTTCTTCCAGCCGTGGCTTGGGGAAACAGGTTTGTGGTTCCCGCTACCAGCGCCTCTCGGGCGGTGCGACCAAGTGGGCTTTTAGACAGGTTTACGGTGGAACCGGGGCCCTGACTGGTGTCCAGTGCCGGGGTATGTGTGTGGTGGACGGGGTATGCGGCCTGGGACACTTACCAGCCTGGGGGACCCTGGGTGAGTCACTCAAGGTCGAGGGCCTTAGTGTTGTTGTCCACCGTAACATGGGATTCCTAACAGGACCCACGTTACATGGTGATCGCGAGGATTCTCCGAGTTACTGATGCTTGGTGCCCTTAGCACAGTTTGGGACGTCATTAAACATTCGACAGATGTTACCTGTTTTATGCAATAACTTTTTTGTCTAATAGAGAATTAAGCAATTAGGAAGTTAATACATGCTAGCCTTTGTCTTCATTTTTTTTTTTTTTTTTGAGACAGAGTCTCGCTTTGTTGTCCAGGCTAGAGTGAGTGCCGTGGCGTCAGCCTAGCTCACAGCAACCTCAAACTCCTGGGCTCAAGCAATCCTTCTGCCTCAGCCTCCCGAGTTTCTGGGACTACAGGCACGAGCCACCATGCCCGGCTAATTTTTTTTATATATATTTTTATTTGACCAATGAATTTCTTTCTGTTTTTTTTTATAGTAGAGGCGGGGTCTCGCTCAGGCTGGTTTTGAACTCCTGACCTTGAGCAATCCGCCCGCCTCGGCCTCCCAGAGTGCTAGGATTACAAGCATGAGCCACCGCGCCCGGCCTGTCTTCATTTTTTTTTAAATGTGTCTATAAGAATTTTGTAGGGTGCTTCACAGATATAAACCATTTACAGATGTAAGGTGGTATAATTAGGCATCTAAACCCTCTGATTATTCGGAAAACATGTTAGGTAAATCATGACATAGGACAGAATGATGTTATTCCTTCTAGCACTTAGAGTAGCATTTTGTACATAAGAGAGACACCTCCCTGTAGAAGCTAGCCAGATAACAGGAGGGAGCAGTTTGTGAAAAAGTCTTGAAAACAGGAGAGAATATGGCAAGAGTTGAGGCTGGAAACCTGATGGGGGCCGAATAGGAAAGATCCTTGTTTGTCTTGTGAGGGAGTTTGATGTTTGTCCTGAAGGTTGGAAACTGCTAAAGGGATGATGAGATGGACTTTCCACAGGAGCTCACTCTGACCTCCATACGGAGAGCAAATTAAAATGGGAAGGAGGATAAATAATTTTAATCTAATGCTCCAAAATAAGATATGGGAAAGAAGGGCCGGATTTCAGACATCTAAGAGAATGGATGGGGCCTGGTGACCCCATCCATTCTTCCAGTTAGATGAGGGTAGATAGCAAATTTGGGTGACAGTTTACAGCAGCATCTTTCCATGAGACACAGCAGAGCTGGAAAGGATTGGGGGTGGGAAGAGGGTCTTGGTTCATCTTTAATGTTTTAGGCGGTGCCTGTGGGGCATCCAAATGTGTCTGCTAGGCAGGTGTGAGCCCAAGATATACAGATTTGGGCTTTGTGGGAGGACAGGTGTTTCAAGGCATGGAAGAGGACCTAGGTTGCCCATAAAGAAGATCCAGAAAATTGCTAAGTTATAAAGATGTTTTTAAATGGATAGTCTTCAATATATTTATAAGCTGAGGGAAAGTAGCCAGCTGAGAGAGAGGGTGTGAAGATCTAGGAAAGGAAATTATTGTTGATTTATTTAAGGAAGAAAAAAAAACTTGACCCCTTGTCATGTGCCTGGCCCTTTTCTAGGCTCTGGGGTTAGCACCATCTATTATCTGTTCTGCAAGGACAGTTCAGCACATCCCCTGCTGAAGAAAAATCAGATTATTCTCTGCATCTCATTCGGGTGTAGGAGCTGTTCTGTACCTCTGAAGGGATTTTACTTAATCAAAGCCACAAGAAAAACCAAAATAAAGATGGGAGGAACCTTGGAGTCAAGGCTAGGGGACTTGATCTTGCCTAGTATTTTGCACTGAATGTAAGAAAAATGTATTACAGATAATTTCTCTTTCTGTACTCCTCACTGAACCTTCTTTATGTCTTGCATCTAGTAGGTCTAGGTTGTAGATTTTAACCTCCTAGATAATTGTTTTGCCTGGACTGTTGCAGAAGCTCATAGCTGGTTTTGCTGCACCTGAATTTGATTTTTCTCAGTTCATTTGCCTACTATGGTTCAAGTGATTTTTCTGAAATGAAGAGATATGCTTAAAGTGATATGCCCACCTGGGACCAGTGTGTGTTGGTTGCACAGAGCCACTGATATCCAAGCTGTGTGCTACCAAGCCTATGGGTTAGTTGGCCCTAAGGAAGTGGTGCGTTTTCTAATCATTCCCTTTATTTGGCCCTGAAGCAGTGAGGCACATTTTTCTAAACTGCTATGGGCACCCTTAATGTGTCAGTGGTAGTCCTGTTCCTCATCAACTGTGAAATAGAAGCCAGCTCTCTCCCAGGCTTGCTTCAGACTCCCTATTTTAATTTCTGACTCTTTTCCCGCTACTCCTCTGGGCTTTAGTCATCTCCACCTGCAGTATTTACAGTGCCCTGCAGGTGTCAGGCTTGGATACCTTTGTACATGCTGCTCCCTCTATGGTTAATGCATCACCCACTCTGCCCCATGTAGTCATTCTCATCTTTCTAGATTTAACTTCAGGGTATCTTGAAGCCATCCCCTAGGTGCAGCTTCTTTGCTTCCAGAAGAACCTCTCTCTGTATAGTTTGTGCGTATCTCATGGGGCTTGAGTTTACATGTATCCCTCCTTAAGAGGACTGTGTCTTAGCACAGAGCAGAAGCTTTTTAATGATAAACTCTATGATTGAAATCACTAACTTTACAATAACTTTGCTTTAGGTTCTGACATAAATAAAGTTTGCAGAGGTCGTGTTCCTGCCATAAGATTCAAAGATGTGACCTTCCAGTTATGTAAAGCTCTTAAAGGCTGTTTAAGTATATCAAGTGTGCTAAAGAACCTGGAGCTAAATGGACTAGTTCTGAGAGAGAGAGATTTAACTGTTTTAACAAAGGTAAGCTTTCTCCAACATGGCCTGCAAACATTTGATAGTTGCTTTTGGAGGAAAAAAACTCAATAAATTTTTAACTTTTTCCCCTCATTAAAGGGATTGAATAAATCGGCTTCTTTGGTGCACCTGTCTCTTGCAAATTGTCCAATTGGAGATGGAGGTTTAGAAAGTGAGTTTAAATCTTAATTAACTCTCTTCCCATCAGACTGTGTGGAATAGTGGTCTGGAGGGATAAGGTAGTCTGCATTTCGATTTGAGGGAACAGTTTGAGGTCCTCTATGTTCTATTGTTCTAGTAGATTAGGTGCTCTAGTATAGCACCTAATAACATTCTGGGTTTATAGTTGACACTTAATTGTTGATTGATAATCAAGATTGAGTTCTTATGTTGGAAATAAAAATAGGAAGAGAAAGACTTAGGCTTTTTAGATTTTTCTTTTTATTTCAAATATCTCAAAATGTACATAGTACTTTACAGTGTGGTGGGGAATAAGTTTGCAATATTCAGGTTACTCATTTTAGCATCTAAATAGAGTTAAACTATTGTGTAAATTGGTACAACACTTTATAACTGACATATTTTAGAATGCCCTAATCCATCAATTGCTTGGGAAAATTGTAGATGGTGATTTTAAGAATACATCTATAAACTAGAATAGACACAAGAAAAGCAAATCACGGTTGTATAGGTTCTTCATCTTACTGTGTATGTGGTCTTTTTTTCCTTTTAGTTATTTGT